TAGTGAGCTGAAATAGACTGGTGTTGGCCATTTTGAATCTGACAAGCACATAGTTTACTATGCCGGGAATGACAAATTGAAGAGGAATGTTGTTGCATTCATTGTCAAAAAGAACATACCCAGATCAGTCATGAGGTACAACGCTGTCTGTGATTGGATACTATCCATGCTCCTACAGGGAAGCCCAGTTAATACCACTATTATACAAATTTATGCACCAACCACTAAAGCCAGTGAGAATGAAACAGAAGAATTCTACCAACTTCTTCAATCTGAAATTGAGCAAACGCGCAATCAAGATGTATTGATCATTACTGGTGATAGGAATGCAAAGGTTGGGAGCAAAGAGGAAGGATCAGTAGTTGGAAAATATGGCCTTGGTGATAAAATGATGCTGGAGAACGCATGATAGAATTCTGCAATACCAATGATTTGTTCATTTAAAATACCTTCTTTAGATAGCATAAGAGATGACTATACACCTGGACCTCACCAGATGGAATGCATAGAAATCAAATTAACTACATCTGTGGAAAGAGACGATGGAAAAACTCCATATCATCAGTGAAAACAAGGCCAGGGGCAGACTGTAGAACAGACCATCAATTACACATATGCAAATTCAAACTGAAGCTAAAGAAAATGAAAACAAGTCCACGATAGCCAAAATATGACCTTGAATATATCCCACCTGAATTTAGAGATCATCTGAAGACTAGATTTGATACATTAAACACTAAAAACCGAAGACCAGAAGAGTTATGTGATGACATCAAGAACATCATACATGAAGTAAGCAAAAGGTCATTGAGAAGACAGGAAAGAAGGAAAGGTCAAAATGGATGTCAGAAGTGACACTGAAACTTGCTCTCCAGCATAGATATGCTAAAGCAAATGGAAAAAATGAGGAGGTCCAAGAGCTGAACAGAAAATTTCAAAGATCAGCTCAAGAAAATAAAACCAAATATTATAACAAAATGTGCAAAGATCTGGAATCAGAAAACCAAAAAGGAAGTACACACTCGGCATTTCTCAAGCTTGAGGAACTGAAGAAAAAAATTCAAGCCTCGATGTTCGTTATTGAAGGATTCTCAGGGCAAATTATTGAATGGTGCAGAAAGCATCAAGAGAAGATGGAA